TGCTCCAAGGCACATGGGATCTTATTTCCCCAACCAGAGATTGAACTTGCGTCCCCTACACTGCAAGGAGAATTCTTAACCCCTGGACCACTAGGGAAATCCCACTCCCTTATGTTTTATTTCCACTTTTCAGGCAGGACCTTGAGTAATACTGCCCAGGCTACTTGCAGTGTCAGGATTAGAACCCAAATCTGGTGGACTCCGAAACTGGTCCTTGAGGACACTGTAATACCTCCTGTCTGCAAATCTACTCACAAACAATAAATAAGAGGAATACAAATTAGCACATGTTTAGCTATCCTCTCAACAAATTACCTTTATTGAAGAGAGCAAAGTTGCTTGAAAAGGAAGATTAATTGAAGCAAAAGCGGGGGGGGGGGGAAGGAAGAGAAAAGGGGGGAAAAAACACAGTCAGGAGAGCTCTCTTCCAGATGCTTGTGCTCTCCTGGGCTCACCCCTCGCCGGTTTCTGCGCCTGAGATAAATAGCCAGGCTGGGACAGGACTTTGCCGTTTCAGCGATATTCGGATGGCTGCTCCGATGAGCTGATAGATTGTATGAACTCAGCCATTAATTCACCCTCGAGTGGCCTGTGAATTTTGTCCCTGTTTTACATACCCAACCTCCCCCTCGTATTCAGGAGATTCTGCCAGTACAGCAGAACTTGAGGAAAATCGGAAGTGGGTTGGATGGTAGCCCACCCCCCCACAAGCTTATCGCTAACTAGGTGATAGAGCTCCAGCGACAGGGTTGCCGGTTGTGTTGGCCTCAGCCCGCACTGAAGGGTCAGGAGGGAAGGAGTCACCAGCCCTTCCTCGCCCAGGGCAAGGAGGAAACAGATTCAGTATCCGTTTCCTGACCCAAAGAGCTCAGCCCATCCGTCAGGTCACAGTATATAGCATGCCCACACTTCTCCAGAGCATCAGAGAAGGGGACCCTGAGTCTCTTTTTCCCTCCTGTGGACAGAGGAAGAAAAGGAGGTTCACCTGTTCCCACAATAAGCCTTTGAGAGGCTGTTGTGTGGGTCATCTCAACCTGATGCCTGGCCTGGTGGGAGGCTTAGGGAAGGGGTGGTACAGCATTTAAAAGCCCAGACTTTGGGGCAGATGGACCTATGGTCAAGTATTAACTCCTCTTCCGAAAGACCCTCCGTCTCCCATCACCCCTCCAGGAAGGTCTCTCTGGCAGGATGGAGACGCCTTCCTCCCAAGCCGAGACTAAGTGTGGTGTACAAGAAAGGGCGGCCTAAACAGGGACACAGTCTAGACTCTCCCAGCTGGGTCGACTCAGGCAGCTTAGCTTGGCAGTCAGCATATTAGTCAGTGCTCCTTTGATGGCAGGGACCAAAAACCCATCTTGAATCAGCTTAAGCCAAAGAAGAAAATGTAGTGTGTCTCGTCACCAAACTACCGAAGGGGCTAGGTTGTCAAATGAATGAATTGTTCCATTCTCTTCCTAACTTTCATCTCTGCTTGCTTCTGACTTAGCTTGGTTCTCCTGCACAGACTGACTTTGTGCCAGGGGTCTTGGCTGTTGGTGGCTCTCGACTTAAAGAATACCAGTGTCACAACCCAAGGGAGACAAATCTCTTCCTCCCAGCTTTAATCTATAAGAATCCAAAGAATAGGTCACATGTCCTTCCCCGGAGCCATCAATCACTGGCTGGTGGCAGGTACAATATGATTGGCTCTTCCAGGGTCAGTGTCTCCCCAAGATCAGAGCTGGTAAGGGCTTCCCAGGTGGCACTAGTGGTACAAATCTGCCTACCAATGAAGGAGGCGCAGGTTCTATCTCTGGCTCAGGAAGGTCCCCTGGACAAGGAAATGGCAACCCACTCCAGTAGTCTTGCCTGGTAAATCCCATGGACAGAGGAGCCTGGCAGGCGGGCTACAGTCCACGGAGGTTGCAAAGAGTGGGACGTGACTGAGCATGCACAGAAAAATACAAGGGTAGGCTGCTCTGAAGGCGCAAAGAGTACCATGACAGTCCACCCACTCACCCTACAGTGGATGTGTGTGGACATGTGCTCACACTCCTATTAATCTGATTATAAAACTCTCATCTAACACAATCCACAATCCCCCCTATAGTCGAATGCACCTACCCTCACCCTCTGGCGAGACCACCCACTGTCATAGTACATCCAGCTCCAAGCCCAGCATTTCTGGGTCATGAGCACTCCTCTCTGTCAGGACCCAGTGTGGTACCTTGTGATCCTGAAGCCTGTGGGCCACATGGAAGCAAAGCCTCCCCAAATGTACAACGGCTGGAGGACAGATCTGAGCTTAAATTTTAAGATTTGGAGATGTTTCCAAGCGCTGGGCACACAGGCAGATTGCATAGTTTCGAATTCTACTTAGAAACAGGTAAGATGTAGTAACATGAGTGGGGACCAGTCAGAAAGCATATACCGTAGGCCAAATACAAAGATTCACTTCTAAGACAGACAGATACAACAGTCATTAGGATCAGTCTCTTCATCTATAAGATGGGTTAATAAGAAGGGTGTGAGGACTGAATTTTTTTAAATGAGGCATGGTGCATAGTAGGTACTCAATGCACATTCTCTGTCTTTCACACATACAGCTTTTGATCTGATGACACTGACCTCATTCTGCCAAAATAAACAACAGTTCCCTCACTTTCCCTTTTCCTTCCTCTCCTTCGTCCTTTTTTTTTTTTTCTCCTCCTGCCCATCCTTAGACACTCTGTCCTCTAGTGAACTACTGAACTAAGGTTACTTGCCAACAATGGCCCATGGAAGTTCTCTCTCCCAGCCCAGCTGTAAACGTCACACACACACACACACACACGCACACACCTCCCTGGGCCATGTTTCCTTCTGTGACACAGGAGAGTCATCCATTGTTGAACAAGCACAGTGACAAGATGCCGGCTTTCCCAGAGCTGTCACCCTCTGATGTCCCTGCTCCAGGGAGGCGATGTTTCTTTTAAAGATGGACTGTTCTTAGTCGACCAAATCACCTCTGTCTTATGAAAGAAATTCAAGGTGATCAGAGTTGAGACACATCTCCAGCGAGGCTGACAAATTCTGCACTTCCCAGGGCGGCATTGAGGGGACACAATTGCTCCTTAACAAGCCAGTATCCTCTGCTAGACCCTGTTCTCCACCACGAGTGAGGGGGGGCGAGGAGCCCACAGTTTAAATCGACAGCAGCCTAGGCCTGAACGAGATCAGGTGGCATGTAGCATTTTCCTCAATCATTCTCCAGGAGGGCCGTTCAATTCCAAGGGCTGGCTGGGTCCTCAGGCTCACCTCCAGTGACTCCCAAATGCAAGAGCACTGGTTTGGGGTCCCATAGACCTAAATTTAAATCTTTATTCTACCATCAATTAGTTTCAGGTCTGGGACAGCTCGCTTCACCTTTCTGGGCCCCTGTTCAATCACCTAAGAACAGAGTTTCAGCATGCCAAGAGCCACTGCACCTGGGTCATTGCAAAGGTCCCCAGATCCAAAGAGAAACAAGAGGGACTTCCCTGGGGGTGGTTAAGATTTCGCCTTCAAGTGCGAGGCGCGCAGGTTTGATCCCCAGTCAGGGACAGGAGCTGTAAAATCCCACATGCCTCCCAGTCAGAAACCAAAACATAAAACAGAATCAATATTGTCACAAATTCAATAAAGACTTTAAAATGGTCCACAGCAGAAAAAAAAACTTAAAGAAAAGCAAAGAGTTCAGAACATGGGTTCTGCAGCCAGACTGTATCCAAACCCAGCCCCACCGGTATAAGCTGTGTGTCCTTGGGCAGGTGACTCAGCCTCTCTGGGCCTCACTTTCCTCTTATACATTGACTGGGAATATTAATACTCCCCTCACAGGCTCATTCTAAGGATTCATGAGGCAGTATGTGTAAGGCAATTAGCAAAGTGCATGTCCAAGTTAATAATGATTGTAAGAACACATGGGAAAAGACTTGATAAACTGTAAAGTACCATCTTCATGTACTATTTGCCAACAAGTATAGGAACACATGTACTCATCTGAGAAAACTAAGTGAATGGTATATTGTTGGATGCTTGTTTCACATAATATAAAAATTTCTTTTTGGGGCCTCCCATGGTGGTCCAGCGGTTGAGACTTCACCTTCTAATGCAGCGGGTGTGAATTCAATCCCTGGTTGGAAGCTAAGATCCCACGTGCCTCACAGCCAAAAACCCAAAACATAAAACAGAAGCCATGTTGTAACAAATTCAATAAAGACTTTAAAAATGATCCACATCAAACAGAATCTTTAAAAAAAAAAATTCCTTCTGGATGAAAGCATTTACCTTGGCCCACAAGGTGGGAAAACTGTGAAGAACTTAAAACAGCACTGTGAATGGCTCGTTTCTTATTCCACTCACCTTAAGTTTGTGCCTATTATATGCAAGACCCTGTGGAAGAAATGTTTATACAAGTAAGTCCATTTTAACTTCATTGGGCTGATATTTTCATCCCCACAATGAAGGAAACTGGGCCTCAGAGAGATTAACTGGCCTAAATGCACTGGAATGTCACCAAAGTGAGATGGTGACTTGGATCTTAAGATGTCCAAGTCCAGTGTTCCTTCCAAGAAAAAATAAATAAAACCTTAAGTCATCTTGCAGAAATGACAGCAGGCTGTCAACTTATCAAGCTCTTCAGAGCTGTCTTAGTAAGAGTCTTGGGGCTTACGGAGTGAGGTGAGCTTGGGTTGCTGGGTGCCCAGTTGTCATCAGTAGAGCCCAGGGGTGTGACCTTACCCCTGGCTATGGAAGGTCGCTTCCTCCCCTCTGTTGACCTCCAGGGCCCACAGCCTTACCCACGGGACTGCACTGCCCCGTGGACCAAGCTCTGCCAATGCACACGAGTGTCAGTCTCTCTTGTTTCCACTTGACTGCTCAGAGGAAGGAATTGGAACCAAGAGGTCATAGCCAGAGGCAGACTCGTCACTTCTGAAACCCTTTCAGCTCTGTCTCCCTCCCCCACCACCCCAGATCTGACTTTTCTCATCTTCCCAAAGCTAAGTACATCGGCTGCTACCTGGATGACACCCAGAGCCGGGCCCTCCGAGGCGTGTCCTTTTTCGACTACAAAAAGATGACCATCTTCCGTTGCCAGGACAACTGTGCAGAACGGTAGGGCCCCAGCGTCCCAGGCTCCCTGCATCCAGACCCCTTCCTTCGCAGCTTCCTACCTGTGGTGGTCTTTCGTTTTCCCGTGGGAGGGCATGAGGAAGGATGGACATATCACTGTAAGGGAAGGTGATGCAAGAGGGTGTGTGTGTGTGAGTGTGTGTGTGTGTGAGAGAGTGTGTGTGTGAGTGTGTGTGTGTGTGTGTGAGAGAGTGTGTGTGTGAGTGTGTGAGTGTGTGTGTGTGAGTGCATGTGTGTGCACATTCTCTTGCCTGAAAAATCCCATGGACAGACGAGCTTATCTCATGGACGCTGGAGATCAAGAGTAGGGAGTTGGTCTGTTGGAATCTGTGACTGTGCAGTTGTGTGAGGCTGTGCCTAGGTGTGAGTTTACAGTGTACACTCTGCAGGGTGACATGTGTGTGAGCTTAATGCCAACACTGAATTAAATAATAGTGGCTGTGAGTGCTGGAGTCGGTGTGGATATGTTGGCAAGGGTCCAGAATTGTGGGAAAAGCATAAGTGAGTGTTTATGTGAGTGCACAAGTAGATGTTTACGTGCAGGCAAGTGTGAGTCTGTGAGCATGAGGCTTGTGAGATGCCTGTGGGAAAGCTGAGGTGGGAGCCTACAATCAGGGATATTTAGTGATTGCCCAGCCCAGAAACTATTCGTTCCTGGCCCAGGGAGAAACACTCACCTGTCTAGGCAATGTTTTCCAATCTAAGGAAAAAATGACGTTCTCTTGAGAACAGGCCCTAAGGGGAGGGAGCTGACTTTTCAAGAGTAGACAGGCCCCAGAGGACTGGCGAGTGGGGACCCTGGGGCCAGGCCTGGGAACCAGCACTTTGCCCGGGAGGCACGGAGCAGTGAGCGGACCTGCTCCTCCCCCGTGCCCTGGGTCCCTGACCCATGGTAGTTTGCGGGAGGCCTCTAACATGCTGACCTTCAGACTCGAGCCTGCTGCCTCTGGAGGTCACGAGCTCTGAAAGAGCTCAGCTGCATGGCTGGAGTGGAAATGGGCAAGTGGGTGGCCAAGGGACCCTTCCTTCTCTCCCTGATTAGGAAACACTGTCTGCTTTATAATCAGCTTCCAGAACAGGCCACCATCAATCCTGAACTCAGGACCACCTCCAGCTTAGGAGAGACTCCCAGCTCTCTAGGATATTGATTGATTAATTTATCTATTGGACTGTGGGGAGACAGAAGTAAATCGCAGAGGCCATGCCCTCAGAGGGGTCTTGTGGGGGCTGAAGAGTTAGTATTTGCAAAGCAAATGTTTAAGAACAGCACCTGGCAGAGAGCAAGTGTAAGCTCTTGCTATTCTGTGGCCCAAGCCTGCTGATGCTTCTGTCTCCCCGACTAGCTGGGGAGCCCCTTGGGGGCAGGGCCTTGGCTGACTCACCTCTGGCTCTATCTGGAAGCACGTGTGGGCAGCCAACAAGCGAATGCAGAACCAAACTGAACTACGCAAGTTGATCTGACTCGTCTTCTGAAGCTCAATCTTGGCTGTCGCCTCCTGAGAAGTCTCTCCTGACACCCCAGGCATGTTGGGCGCCTCCTGCATTTCCACCATCTGCGATTTATTCCATCTCACCCTCATCTCACTGTGCAGCCCTTTTCTAGTTACGTGCTTGTCTCTGCATCCAAGCTGTGAGCTCCAGGACACGCACGTCAGCATCAACTGGGATGTGAAAGTCGCTGTCGTGTCCAATGTTTGTGACCCCATGAACTATATAGTCCATGGGATTCTCTAGGCCAGAATACTGGAGTAGGTAGCCTTTCCCTTGTCCAGGGAATCCTCCCAACCCAGGGATCGCACCCAGGTCTCCCACATTGCAGGCAGGTTCTTTACCAGCTGAGCCACAAGGGAAGTCCAAGAATACTGGAGTGGGTAGCCGATCCCTTCTCCAGGGGATCTTCCTGACCCTTGAATTGAACCAGGGTCTCCTGCATTGCAGGTGGATTCTTTACCAACTGAGCTATCAGGGAAGCTCACTTGGGATCTTTTAAAACAAATTGCTGGGCCCTACCCCACCCCCAATTTTCGATTTGTTGGGTTTGAGGTGGAGTCCAAGAATTTTTAACAAGTTCCCAGATGATACCGCATGCTGCTGGTCCCAGGACCATGGTTGGAGCACCGCTGCTCTGACTTTCACATCCAGCTGGGAAACTTTAAAAGCTCCTGCTGTCCAGTAGTGGTCCTTCCATCAGTGGGTCCAGTTATATGTGGCGGGCCCCAGGGACACCTGAGAACCAAGGCTTCAGAGAGACAGAGAGGTGGAAGAAGGAGGCTGACCCAGCCCCGAGATGCCCAGATAGTTTAAGCTGCTCCTACTGCATCTGCAATTTATCCGGGGGGGCTCCAAAATCACTGCAGATGGTGACTGCAGCCATGAAATTAAAAGACACCTGCTCCTTGGAAGAAAAGCTATGACCAACTTAGACAGCATATTAAAAAGCAGAGACATTATTTGACAACAAAGGTCCATTTTGTCAAAGCTATGGTTTTCCCTGGAGTCATGTATGGATGTGAGAGTTGGACTATAAAGAAAGCTGAGTGCTGAAGAATTGATGCTTTTGAACTGTGGTGTTGGAGAAGACTCTAGAAAGTCCCTTGGACTGCAAGGAGATCCAGCCAGTCTATCCTAAAGGAAATCAGTCCTGAATATTTATGGAAAGGACTGATGCTGAAGCTGAAGTTCCAATACTTTGGCCACCTGAAGCGAAGAGCTGACTCATTGGAAAAGACCCTGATTCTGGGAAAGGTTGAAGGCAGGAGGAGACGGGGATGACAGAGGATGAGATGGTTGGATGGCATCATTGACTCAATGGACATGAATTTGAGCAAGCTCCAGGAGTTGGTGAAGGACAGGGAAGCCTGGCGTGTTGTAGTCCATGGGATCGCAAAGAGTCAGACACAACTGATCAACTCACCTGAACTGAACTGCATCTGCAAGGAGATCAAACCAGGCAGTCCTAAAGGAAATCAACCCTGAGTATTCATTGGGAGGACTAATGCTGAAGCTCCAATAGTTTGGCCATCTGATGTGAAGAGCTGACTCATTGGAAAAGACCCTGATGCTGGGAAAGATTGAGGGCAGGAGGAGAAGGGGATGATAGAGGATGAGATGGCTGCATGGCATCACTGACTCAATGGACATGAATTTGAGCAAACTCCAGGAGACAGTGAAGGACAGGGAAGCCTGGCGTGCTGCAGTCCATGGGATTGCAGAGAGTCAGACACGACTGAGCAACTGAACAACAATTGCATCTGCCCAGGTGACCCTGTGATTGCACGCCACCCCGAGCAGTTGGGGTGTTCGGAGACATGAATCTGGGTGGGTCTGTGTCTCCAACTAGCCCCCAGAAGTCATGAAGTGACACCTCCGATAAGTCCTGTCTTGCAGGACCAGTATTTTGCAGGCTGCTCCCCGCCCCCAGGAACCTTTCTCAATTCTGGAAAGTGCCTCAGAAAATGCAGTGGGCAAGAGGGCTGAGCAGGCGTTGTCCTACTCCCCTCCCCCCCCCAACCCCCACCACTTCATACCCACCCCTGGAGCCAGAACAAGCAATTGTCTTTTCATCTGTTTATAGACGGATCCTTACCAAGAGTCCTTTTTAGGAAATGATTCCATAGCTGTGGGAAAAAAAAGAAAAGAAAATCTTGCAGTGCCTGGCTTTCTTTTTTGTTTTAAGGAAAGGCGTTTTTTTTAACTTGGCTGGATATGTAACCTTGGTTTTCCAGAGAGATGTGAGAGTCCCCTGCCCCTTCTCCTGGGCCAGACTTCTCTCAGGGGAACTAGAGGTACCATCCCTGGGTGGTGTTGCCGGAATAAAGGGGCTAGATGCTGCACATGTGATTGGCTCCTGGCTGTGGACAGGGAAGACAGGGAGGGCAGAGGGACCACAGGACCAGAAGGGTGTGGTGTGTGTCTAGGGTGAAGGTGTATGTGGGTGGGTGTGACTGTGACGTGGTGTGTCTGTGTGGCGAAGTGTAGAGGGGGTGTGAGACCTCAGGCAGGGATGGACGCCAGTGGTCTCCCTGGGGTCTCATCCCCTCCGGAGTCTCCCTGCCTGCCCTCCTCCAGGACCTCCCTGTAATCCTTCTTGGCTTCTTGCCCATTGCACCTGCAAGACTTTCAGACTCCTCAGCCTCCACGACCTTCTCAGGGTCTCCTTAGTCTTGATCTTGATGTCCCTTGGAGCATCCCTGTCCCCCAGATCTCCTTAGGTCTCCCTGACCCGACAGCCTTCCTCGTTTTCCCCCCTCCACCCCAGTTTCCTCCTTTCCTTAGGGTCTCCCCATCTCCGGAAGCCTCTTGTCTACCCGCTCTCCACTGTGGATGGGTCTCCTATCCCCTAATGTCTCCTCTCTCCCCACTGGGAGTCTCTCTGTCATCCCACCTTCAGCATCTGCATCCCCGTCTCCCTCCGGGACCTCCTAGTCCCCAGAGCTGACCCATCGCCTGGGGCCTCCTCACTGGCCATGGCTCCCTGCCCTCCTTGGGGGTCTCCATGGTGGCAGGCACCCTGGCCTGACAGCAGCCTCCCCCAGGGGTTACCTGTACGCTGGGCTGGAGTTCGGCGCCGAGTGCTACTGCGGCCACAAGATCCAGGCGGCAAACGTGAGCGAGGTGGAGTGTGACATGGACTGCAAGGGCGAGCGGGGCAGCGTGTGCGGGGGAGCCAACCGCCTGTCCGTCTACCGGCTGCAGCTGGCCCAAGAGTCCGCCCGCAGGTGTACGTGAGTCAGCCCCTCCCCTCCCCGCCCCTCGCCCACCTGCGCCCCCCACCCCTCCTGAGCCCTCGGGCACCCTCCCAGGCTGCCACCACCCTGCCCCAGCCTCGCCGCCAGCCAAAGCCCTCGTCCCCCTCAGCAGACACCGAGAGCCTGACCTGGCCTGTCCTTCCTGATTGGCTGAAAGCAGGCTGTCCCTAACGATGGTGACGATGACAGTAACAACAGCAAACGCTCCATCGTTTTCAAAGTGTCTTCTTTGGAAGAGCACACCTGATCGTCGCCATGACCCTTAAAATCGCAGTTATTCACCCACTCCCACTTTACGGATGAGGAGACTGAGGCTTGGTGTCACCCAAGCAGCAGAAGATTTAAACCAACTCTAGAGTTTATCTGTTAATTTTTCTCTTTTGGCTGTGCCATGTAGCACGTGGTATTTTCGTTCCCTGACTGGGGATTGAACCCAGGCTGCCTGTCCTGAAGCGTGGGGTTAACCACTGGACTGCCAGGGAAGTCCCATAGCTTATGCCTTTAATGCTCCCATAGAGACAATTTCCAGATGGCACTAGTGGTAAAGAACCGGCCTGCCAATGCAGGAAATGTAAGAGGCAAGGGTTCGATCCCTGGGTCGGGAAGATCCCCTGGAGGAGGGCATGGCAACCCACTCTAGTGTTCTTGCCTGGAGAATCCTGTGGACAGAGGAGCCTGGTGGGCTACAGTCCACGTGGTCGCAAAGAGTTGGACACAACCGAAGAGACTTAGCACACATGCATGCAGAGACAGTTTATCCCTCACTTGCCAATGTTTTGGTCGTATTAGAAAAACTCTCCAGTTTTCAGACTGAGGGAGGGAAGGGTGTGATTAGGTGAGGACAGTAGCCACCCCCTCTGCTGTGCATATTGTCCCACTGATCTTTCTTTGGCTGTTTAGTAGCGGTTAATGTTTGTTTCTCAAGCATCAGCTGTGCTAAGTCCATTGCAAGCCTGATTTTGTTTCCTTTCCCTACAGACTTTTCAGGCAGTTGCCATGGTTAATCATTTCCATTTTACAGTGAGGAAACTGGGGCTTAATGAATTTAAGTAAGCCTGCCCAAGATCACACAGCCTTGTGATCTCAGAGCTGATGTTCAGACCTGTAAGCAGGGCTAATGACCTTGACGAAAGACAGAGGGCTGAGGTTTGTCCTGGGTACTCTTCTGATGAGGTCCTGCGTTGGGAACAGGAATCCAGAACTACAAATCTCAAATTTGAACATGCCGGGGAATCCCAGGGAGATCTTGTTAAAATGCAGACTCTGATTCAGCAGGTGAGATTCTGCATTTCCAAGGAGGTCCTAGGTGATGGTAGGCTGCTGGTCCATGGACCATACCTTGAGTAATAAGGTCTTAGACCTAAGTGAAGCTGACAAGGTCCGCCCAGAAGGTAGGCCTGCGCACTCAGGTGGACTTGGCAGAAATTAACACCTGTGTGCACGCAGTGAAAGGCCTCTTCCGTGTGAATGTCATTGTTGATAAGTTTCATTGCTGGTTTGCTCAGTAATGTGTTCTGTTTTCCAAGCCCCATGTTTTTGAAGCTCTGTGCACACTTTGCTCTGCAGCGGGGTCAAGTGAGCCGCCAATTTGCAAAGCAGCTGATTTCTAGAAATGGAGGTACCATCTCCCTCTCCATCATTGCCTCAGTTCACCCAGGTCTGAGGGCCTGGCTGGCTGGCAGAGGACACGGAGGGTGTGTGAAATCCAGGCTGGATAGTGTCTGCACAGTGAGTTTCTGGTTTGACCATTAGGATAGTGAGGTTTTGATTTGATGGCAGATTTATCATCCCCAATACTTATTTCTTTCATTTCATTTATGTATTTATTTTTGGCTGTGCTGGGTCTTCCTTGCCACACGCGGATTTTCTCCAGCTGCGGTGAGCGACAGCTGCTCTCCGTCGCAGTGCATGGATCTTTCATGGCCGTGGCCGCTCTTGTTTCGGAGCACAGATTCTAGGGCGCACAGCCTCAGTAGTGGTGGCTCAAAGGCTCCAGAAGGAGAGCTCAGGCGTTGTGACACACGAGCTTAGTTGCTCTGTGGTGTGTGGAATCTTCCCACAGGCCAAGGATCGAACCCATGTCCCCTACATTGGCAGGCGGATTCTTTACCACTGGACCGCCAGGGGAATCCACTACTGATTCTCTTTATGCCAGTATTTACGTTATTTGGATGGCGACTTTGACCATAAGAAGAGATGACCTTAAAGTGATGTGTATTTAGAGGGAAAGCTGCAGCTACTGGAACATTCTGGTGAATGATGCTGAGCTAGATAACAAGAATCGGGCTTGTGTATGTCAGCAGCTGCTCTCAGCCAGACCTCCTTTTGGTTAATGTTCAGAGTGGCTGGGTAATATGAACATTGCCCTGTCTCTCTGTCTCTGTCTCTTGCTCTCCCCCCCACCCACACACACTCAGACACACACACTGTTAAGATCACCTGGTAACAGCAGTCTCACACACGGGTGCTTAGTCTCTCGGTCATGTCTGACTCTTTGTAACCCCATGGGCTGTAGCCCGCCAGGCTCCTCTGTCCATGGAGTTCTCCCTGCAAGAATACTGGAGTGGGTTGCCATTTCCTCCTCCAGGGGATCTTCCCAACCCAGGGATTGAGCCCAGCATTCCTGCATCTCCTGCCTTGGCAGGCGGATTCCTCTAACCACTGAGCCACTTAAGAAGCCCAATCAATAGCAGTCTCATGGACCATCAGAGATTTTTTGTTTCCATTACCTGAAATGTAAAAGCCTCAACACACACAGACCATGAGATTCTCTTACAGTTGGGTGTGTTTTGCCCTGGGAGCAGTGGGGAGGCTGACTGGGTGGTTGCTGGTGAGAGACCCCGAGGCTGCTGGGATGCTGCTGTGCCCCTCGGCTTGCCCACCTCCGCTGTGGGACTCTGTTCCATCTGTTCCATTTACATTCAAGATGGGGAACCCATTCATTTCTACCGAGACAGGAGTCCTGGAGTCTAAGGCCACCCCAGTTGTTCTGAATGGTCGCTGTGCAAGGTTGGAAGCTTGGGGGACTCCATTGGGAGACTACAGAAGGGAATCTAAGCCTTGCTAACCTCAAGGCTACTGTGTCTGAGATGAGCATGGAGGTGGCTTGGATAAGGAGACAGATGGTTGGTCAAGTTGGAATTCCTTGCGGGCTCCCAGTTGGCAACACGGTATTGGGAGAGAGCATGAGGATTGTTCGTTAAACCACAACCTTTGGTGAGCTCCTCTGTGGCTTAGGCTTGGAGAGGAGAATGGGGAGCCAAGCGTAGTCCTGCTCTCAAGGAGGTCACCGTCCAGTGGACGGGCAGACCCAAGACCGGTGGGGTCTGCTCAAGTGGGTGAGGCGGTGGTGACGTATATATAGGAGCCCAGAGAGCCACGTTTGAGCCGAGTCTCATTCTAAGATTTCCAGGTGAAAGGAAGAGTCACATATCCAGCTGAGAGCAAAAATCCGGGATCAGCAACGGTTATTTTTGAATGACCCATTAGAAGCACCTTCCTTGCTGATGTTCCATTTTGCAGCTTTAGAAACTGAGGCCTAAAAAGCACAAGTGGCCAGATTGAACAGCCCTGGGGGCGGCTCCACAGAAGAAGGCTGACTGGTTAGGGCCTTGAAAGATGCACAGGATTTTGCCTGGTGTGAAAGAGGAGGATATTCAGACTCGAGACACATTGCCAAAGGGTGGGGGAGAAATCGGGGCAGAAGGAACAGAGTGTGCAAAAGCCAAGAGTTAATTTTAGTGGACAACGGGCAGGCCTGATGTTTTCAAGGCCACAGTGCTTGTTAGGGGCTGAACTTAGGCTGGAACCCAGCTCTCTGACTCCTAGTTTGGGTGCCAATGCGATATAGCGCTACAAGCACCCTGACCTCTTGTGTTGGATTCTGGACCCCGTTGCCCCTCCCTTGGGAGGAGCGCTCCTCGGTCTGACCTACCTCCTTTATCCCCTGACCCCTAATCTCTCCTTCTGCCCTGTGTCCTGTCTCTACACAGCACAGAATATCCAGGGTGTTTGCTATGGCTCAGTGACATGCTCGGTTTCCCATTTCTGAGATCTGATTTATGCACAAATAAGTTAGGAAGGGAGGCCTTCCACCAGCACATGGCATGGCATGTATTACTTTAGGCAGGGCAATGAGCAAACGCTCCAGGAAACAGGTGTGGTGGAAACCAGATTCCATTTGTAGAGTCATTAGTTTGTATTAACACTATGTCCTAATTGTGTTTCCCTGGGCAGTGGCACAGAACTCGTAATGATTGTGAAGATCCAAAGGAGGCTTACTGTCTCCTGAGCACCCCTCTGGTGGGGTGTTGGCCTTGCATGGGGTGTCAGCCTTGTGTGGGGAGCCAGCCTCATGTGGGGAGCCAGCCTCCGTGTCTCCGAGGTGATGGAATGCTCCTACAGTAGCGAGAGCATTAAAAGGTTGGCAGAGCAAATGTCTGCAGGAACCCTGCTCTTCTTCCTTGACACAGACTTTTGGGCATGGGAGCTCTTTGCCCTTGTTACAAAAGGACCGAGAAATGGACTTCCTTCTTGGTTGGATTACATTTTTCACAGAGGTGTGCTAAATGTGTCAGCAAGTGCGGCTTCTCCTCCCAGGAGCAGAGACCTGCTGGTGATTTGAGAATATTATGACTTTATAGGATGTTGCAAGAAATTCCATTTGCCTGAAAGATTCTTGCAAGATTCGCTTTGCAAGGTTCACTAGAATCACAGAATGCATTTATATGTGGGGCCCAGGGGTGGCTGTCCGTGGTGCTGACCATCCTTCGGTGCTGCCTAAAACCCCCGTGGGCTTTATGGTGGCTCAGTGGTCAAGAATCCACCTGCCAATGCAGGAGACCTGCCAATGCAGGCTTCATCCCTGGGTAGGGAAGATCCCCTGGAGAAGGAAATGGCAACCCCCTCCAGCATACTTGCCTGGGGAATCTCATGAACAGAGGAGCCTGGCGGGCTATAGTCCATGGGGTCA